GCCGCGGCTAGCGATGGCCGTTAATGGTCACATTAATATACGGCCGTGCACGGAGTCCGATACGATCGGCGCCGCTCCATAAGCGGCAGCGCGCCGCCGAGCGCGGATGACAAGTGGACCGGCCGGACGCCAGACGGCGCTGGCCCGGCCGCCCCTCCCAGCACCCGGCCGCGGCCGGCCGACTCAAGACGACAGTGCGACCTTGCCGTGGCGACCGTCCCCGCGCGCCAGTTCCGGCCCCAGGCGCGCCTCACGCCGCCCCAGGCCACGGGCCCTAATCGCAGCCGAGATCGGGCCGATTCATTTTTTGGGTGGCCCGCTTTCCAAGCTCCGTACGCGATGGCTATCGCGCAACGCTTCCAATTGCAACGTTGGAATGCGCATTGTTCGTCGCCACTGGAGGTTGTGATGAATCATCAGTTGCGGCATGAGGTACATCATGAACCAAGTACGGACGTTCGGGCATTGTACACAGCGTATGGACTAGCTGCTGTCCGCGGTCTGAGCAAAGGACAAGAAGCGCCGCAATTCGCAGCGTGGGTACAACAAAGTCGTGGGCATGGTTTCATAAGTCCAGTTGGATCATGAAGAAGATACATACTTGTTTTCCATCCTGCTACGCGCATTCGGATCACTATCGTGTCCTGAGCCAAGTGCACGCCTGCGATACTATGCCTTTTCAAGCACACGTCCGTGCGTTAGTGTAACTAACATATGTGCAGTTGACATGAGGAATCATCGGTTAGTGTCGCATCTTTGTCACAGTTGAGTTATTGTTTCCCCTATTCACCGACGATCTGCTATGGCCCTGTCTCACAGAGGGGCTAAACCTGCCTGCCGTGAAATGCCCGTAAAGACACCACCTCCCGTGAAGTGGAACCGCTGCCCGCCAGTCTCATGGTTAGCAAGTTGTGAATGGAACAACGAAAATGCTACGAAAACCCAACCATCGTAAATGGTTCCTGGGCCCAAGCAGCCTTTGCTGACAGAATAAGTCCATATAACCCTTGTTTTTCCTCAGATTACTGGAAGATTTTCCGGGATATTTGATCAGGTAGCTGTGACAAAACTGTGAGGCACGCAAGGTAAACACGACATCCGATGACGCCCCGCAACGCAGTATTCCTTTGAAACACCCAAGCAGCAACTGGTAGTAATCAGGAAAGTCTAAATTAGCCATGCACCTCCATGAGATGCATGGCCAAGATCAGCAGCATCGGGAAAGCGCGTACAAGCACGAGAGTCGGACGTTACGATGTGGAATGTGCCAAGTGCCGGCAGCACATCACCAGTGAATATGCCACACAGAGCCGACACGTCAAAAGGTCATCATCAACAGAACAGTGATAATAGTCCATGGCCATCGCGCTGGGATGTGTCGACCAATGCAGCATTCTTGCCGCCGTCAGCGCCAGCGCACAGCGCGGGTGGGCAGCGCTTAGAGCGCAGCTCCGCGGTGCTGGCCGTCATGGCTGAGAACTGAGAACCTCACTCTCCAAGAGCTCAGTCGACTCCAAAAGCTCAGCTAATTTTACAAAAATCGCTCGTGACGTTGAAATGTGTCACAGAAACAGTGTCGAATGTTTGCTTGGTGCACTCAGCTGAATAGCTAGAAGGTTCTCAGTCGGTGTGTGAAAACTGTGCAATTTAGATTGGCCGAATGGGCCGTCCACAATTACTTTGACCACATCAGCCAATTTTTGCAAGCCTTCATCTCCCTCGGCGGTTCCACACTGGTT